GTCTTGGGTTCGTGTATTGCACTTATCATACTGTAATAACTGGAGTCGGGAGATTAGACATCTTATATCAGCCCACGGCTACTCTCTTTATTATTGTTTTCTCCTTTGGCCAGAGGCGGGAGTTGCGCCTTTGCTACGGCAACCCTCAAGGGACATATCAACAGTCAACACCAGAACGACAAACATGAGACAGTCTGTTACAATACGAAGATTCAGACTCATGGCCGTCCTCCTTTAACTCGCATCTCGGTGGCAGAGGGAGACCCGCCACCTCCAGACGTAGACAACGGAAACGTAAATCCAGCTCTCTCCTTCGCTCGCTCCAGACCCAGTTCGGGAACGAGCCTCCAACGATTCTGGCCACCCGGCACACCGCGCTCAAAGACGCCACCACCCCTCCGCGCTCCAGCCAGGTCCCCCTTTGAAGACGCACCAGCTGAGACCTCCAACTGGACCATAGTCCGCCTGCTAAGAGCATGGAAGCAACAAAGCAAACCATGCCAACTCCTCACAACTTTCCTAAAGTCACGTCAGGCTAAAAAACGCAAACGTACCTACATCCACAACACACCGGCGTAACGGCAACGACCGTGACGCCACCACGCACCCCGAAGCTCCGCCCTCTAACCCACAAATTCCGGGTTGCCAGGTTGCAGCGCATCACCTCTCATCCCCCTCCACTACCTCAGGCAAACTCAACTTTCCATAGCGGCAACGAGATGCCGACTCTCTCTTCCTCCCTTTAAATTTCTACAACTTTCTCTTCCTCCCTTCAAATTTCCACAGTATTCCATCCCACCTCCTGGCCGGATTCACCCGTCTGTCCCTTCGCTGTTCCCTTACACCACCCTTCTTCTGCCTATACCCAGGCACCGGGTTGCCAGGTCTTCTTTCCTCTATCCCCCTCTCTAAACCGTCCCCCTCTCTAAGCTGTCCCCCTCTCTAAACTGTCCCCCCCTCCAAGCTGTCCCCCCTCTAAGCCCTCCACTACCTCAGGCAAACTCAACTTTCCATAGCGGCAACGAGATGCCGACTCTCTCTTCCTCCCTTTAAATTTCTACAACTTTCTCTTCTTCCCTTCAAATTTCCACAGTATTCCATCCACCTCCTGGCCGGATTCACCCGTCTTCTGCCTATACCCAGGCACCAGGTTGCCATGTCTTCTTTCCTCTATCCCCCACTCTAAGCTGTCCCCCTCTCTAAACTGTCCACCCTCCAAGCCC